CCCCAATCCACCTGCCCACCATTTGGGCAAAAGAACAAATCACATTTCTAGAAAAGAAGCTATTACATATTTAACAAGAAATAGAGCCTTTTAAGGGGAATTATAGTGGAAAGTGGGGAAATGTATTCTTATTAATCATCCACCCCAATAAAAAGCTATTCTTTCATTTTTTATAGTTTATAACTCATCTGTTTCACTACCAACAGGTCAAATTTAATGTTTCTCTCATAGTTGTATGACCCCTTTCTTATTTGACAGCTTTTAAGGGATATCTCTAGGAATACCCCTCTTATAATAAAAAGGAATTAGAAAATTACTTCTGAAAGGTCCATAGATATTGTCACTATATTCATGGGACCCTTGAATCTCAGGGTACCTCCTGATATGAAACACGTTACATAGTCAGGGTAGAAGGGAAACAACCAGGAGAAAAAGATTATTTTCTTCCTCATTCCTCAGAGGTCTCCTCTGGGAGAGAAACATGTTTACCTCCTTAGCCACCTAAAGTGACAAGTATCAGGTTCAAGCCTATTCCCTCGACCTTGGAACATGCTACTTCCCTCCTAACTCTGCTCTCTGTTTTTCAGTTCCTGTCCTTCACATCCATTCTCCACCTGGTGTCAGAGTGATCTTGATAAAATGAAAGCTGACCAAGTCTCTGTCCTCCTCATAGTGCCCTCAGGGTAATGCCCAACTCCTCACACAAAAAGGCAGTCATCACCTGCCTCCATCCTATGTTCTAGCTTCACCTTTGATCACATCTCCATATGCAAATTATTTCAGCCAAACTGAGCTTCACATTGGTCCTCAGATGGCCAAACTCTTGAATGTGTTTCTACCTGTCACATACCTCAAACATGTTATCCTTCCAACTTAGCTCAAACTCTGCCTGAGAAAAACACCTGAGCACCTACCATGACCATCCAACCCCCATAGTCCAGCAGCCCTCCTCTGTGTTCACACAGCATGCTCCTTCTCTTCTAGAAAATCAATGTTCGTTCTGCATTGTCCTTCCTGGAGGATCCCATTTGAATGCATCTGAAGTCAAGCTGTATCGCACTGGTAATCCCAGTGCCCAGCTGAGTGCCTGATACATAGGAGTAGGTATGTTCCCATTACACTTAACACAATCACACAAATGACACCACCCCAAACACAGTGATAAGAGGACTCAGGCAGTTGATCTGTCTGGACTCATCATGCCACTTCCTAGACCCCACTATTATAGTGTTTTCTGAATACCATTTGCCTTTACATTTCAACCTGTCTCTCATCTCTTTGTCATATGTTTTTACTGCCCTTCACACTTCATGGTAATGAGTACTATCTGTGCCCACAGGTTGTAGCTAAAAGAGCCAGCATGAGTAATGATCCAAACCCCAATGTCAGGAGAATAAAAAGTAAAAGGCATTTACATCCTAAAGGTCTTTTGCCACAATATGGGGAAAGAGTACAATGACCCAAAATAATTATAAAGGATAACAGCTCCTGCCACAAAGTGACTGTCCAGTCATCAAGAATGGAAGAGCATTTGGGTCAATACAGTAATAACATAAAAAAACTGATGATTTCACTGATTCTACAAATGGGCAAGTTAAGATATTCCAAACTATTATGTCCCTAAACCTGTACTATACTTTGGCTAATAATTTATAATAGGCATAGAAATCAACCATTTCTTTGTAGGATTCCTACAAACCCTTTTTCCTTTGAATGGCAAATTTAAGATCATTTTGCAACATCGGGAGCCGCTATGTAAAAAGGCCTGTGCTAGATTCTGGGGGTTCAAAATACGCATAGTTCTTATTGTGAAGAATAAAGTCTGGGAGGAGATACAGTTCTCTAGTTGTATCTAATAAATCTGATCATAACGAGCTTTGACAATCTTGGATTATCTCTTATTGTAGATTAAATCCTATCCCCTTCCCCCCTCCTCCATTACAGAGTGTCAGTCGGCAGACCTATTTTGACAAGGAGCAGAATTTCTGAAAACAACAGCCTTTAGTAATACTGAAAGGCCTCTTAACATTCTTTGAAATTGAAAGCAAAAAAATTAAAAAAAAAAAAAAGCAAGCAATAAAAAGAAAAAAAATGGAAAGCTATTTTACAGCTACCTTGGACTTCAAAATACTAATCCAGTGTATGTTGTTTTCATTAATTTTATTATATATCAGCATATATGCAAATCTGCTAAGAAGTGATGGAAAAAAAGTTATAGAAAAATGGTTAAAGAAAAACCTCATTTAGTTGATGTCCACCCAAGAGATGGACACTTGTATTGGTTACCCACATAACAGACAGCAAGTCACAGCAAAGTAAATGATCCTTTAGGTGAAGAGCAGTATTTTTAAAGCTACCCTGTTAACTACTTTTAACAATTTTTGCTGGTTGCAAACTCGCAGAAGCCATTCGACGCTCAATCCCCTGCTGAACTATCAGCCAAAAGATGCCTAAAATGCCTTCCTGGTTTGCCATTCTGAGTCAAGTAGCCTGACACAACTTGACCAGTGGTCCGTTACAGACTTTGGATGGTGCCTCTCCAAATGGTAGAAGAAGCAGTGTCTGTGGGAGATATTCACTGACGTCTAACAAGCAGACTTTTTAAAGGGTATTCAGGATAAAACGGACACATCCTCTTCTTCCCCAAGAGTACTTTTTCCTTTAGCTCACAAAACAGGAAATTAAAGTGCTCAACCAAAATCCCTGATAGGAAACATAAATCTCTAGAACGTTTTAATGACATTGATATCTCCCAAATGCCTAGAAATATTTCTTTAAAATGAGTTAAGAGAAAATGGCATTCTCTTTCATAAGGCCCAAGCCCTCAAAAGTCCTGAGAAATGACCTCCCCGACCCAAAAAATTATAAATTAAGAATTGGAGTGGTCTTCTTTTTTTTTTTTTCTTTTTCTCTTTCCAAGTGTTGCCTTCCTCTAGTGACTACATCAAGAAGAGCCAACCCATCCGCGGCAACTACTTGGAGAGGTATTAACCATTTCCAGAAGTGGATTACTGTGTTCGTGAGTTGTCACAATACAGGATGCTGTTAAACCTCTTTAGTCCCTTGAAAATGGAATCATGTTCTCATCCCTAAAAAGTCTTGCTTTTGTTGTTTTGCACTCATTGATCTGGGTTTTCTGCCACTGTTTCTGAAGAACATGGGGTTCAGCCCCCTCCCCAAAACTGATGCTGTCCAAGAGGTGTGACAGCTTGGAGGCCCTTAAAGAAAAGATACCGAGGGTTACACAGGGCATCTCTCAGTCCAAAGTGGTAATGGGAACAAGAACCTTCTCTACCTTGCAGGTCAGCTTTGGTCAACGCAACTTTGTTAGCAAAAGAACAGAAAAGGCGAAAACAATAACCAGAGGTTAGTAACAGGTAGAGTAAACCAGGGCAACATTACAGAAATGAAAATACAATTGGCATAACCAACATCACTCAAAAAGACAATCAAAATGCTCTACAGGTTCTCCAGAGACAGCACAGACAGGTGATGCATGGACCAGGGCAGAGCAGGCCTCATCAGAGCCACGTCAGCAGAGCAGGGGTGGGAGAACACTGGGCTTGACAAAGCAGAAGCAGTGGTAACAAGAGCCTTCCCACATCCACACAGCCAACCCCAAGGCATATGGTCCAGAAAAATGATTCTCCATGAGTCAGGATAAACATCAAGAAATAAAGGTAGTGTGTGGCCAGACTGAAAGACACGTGTGCACAACCAGACCAAGCCCACAAAAGTAATTCTGAACATCTAGGAGTTAAGTATGGAAGAGTCACTTGGGAGCACTCCTTGTAACCTGCGGAAAATGCCACCAGGGAATGTGGCACTAGAACTGGGCGTGTGCATGAAGGTGACTTGGGAACTCCAAAGAGCTCCATTTGTTTGATTTGTAGGAATATAGCGAAACCCAAATGGCTGTGAGCAAAAAAGCACCAAACCAATGTCCTTTTTATTTATTCATGCCAGTCTTGAAATGAAGCACGTGTGTTTCTCTCAGATGTTTACCATCTGCAATCGTGGAATCGCATTTCCAGCCAATACATGCCTTGGTCTCACTGCAAAGCTGGCCTCAAGATAGAAAGAGAGATTTACCAGCTGAGACTAGAACCAGACATTATTTCAAAATTCCTAGCCCAAATTAAGAGGCTGCAAGTCATAGCCAGATGTTGGCTAGGTTGTCTGGAAATTGAGCTTAACTTCTGAAGTATATATTCTGCATATATTAGAGACATAAAATCAAAACATAGTTCAAGATTTTTTTCTTTCTTACTATAAACAGTTGAGAGGCAGAGTAGGGGATTAATATGCTTTTTTAAAATAATTTTGGACTCTTTGCACTTAGATATACAAGGGAAAGTAATACAATTACTACTTAGGGATCTTGAAAGATCATTATCAATGACTTTGACAAAACATATGATATATTCTGGCCTATGTACCCCAGACAGTGGGGATAAAACACATTTACCATCTTGAAGAGATTTGGTTTTAGTAACAGATCCTCATCCCCTACCTATTTATTGTTCTACATACAGAAATGATACATCAGGAAATGTATTCTATTTCCTATGATTGCCATACTGCACAATACTGAAAGGCCTTCTCAAGGGGTCCATAGTATGAACAGAGATTCAGAATGAGAATGACCTCTGTCTGTAGTCTCTCTAAGGTTCTGTGTTCCTTGTTCCCCCCTCCCCATCTTCTTTAGCTTCATTTCCACAGTGCCCTAAAAGGCTCCTGGGACCTCTTATAAGGGCTTATGCACATGGTGTAAACTTCCAATGGCAGTAATTTATGCCTTAACCCACTTTTTGGTCATTTTTCCTGGCCACTTAGGCTAATTATCCAAGTCATCGGTGTACAATAAACAAGGACGTTCCTCCCGAGCACTCACCCCCCCCCCCACTTCATCCCACCCAGTGGGGCGGTCATAATGCTCCATAGGTAATCACTGCAATTATCTCCATGGCAATAGAGTGCAGGGTTATTAGGCCCAGGAGACTTGCCACAAATTCGGATGGCAGAACCATCAAGTCACAATATCCGGTGCTGGACAATCACCCATACTCAGAGGAAGGTCGGGCCCCACCATAATGCATGTGATGAGTCATGCCAAACTGCACACGGAGATACAGGTAGGGATGGGAACATTTTCCCCAATTTGATGGGTAATTTCCTTTTGCTAATGCTCTCACTGCTTCTCCTGAAGTTCTCTTAAGTGGACTCCATTCCCCCCTTTATGCTATACCTTCTAAGCCACCCTTATAAAAGTTAGTTTAGACGTCCTTTTAATCCAGTACAACAGTTTTAGTTCCTTATACCCCAATTTTTTTATACTCTATAGAACTATGCTTCTAACGCAGTAGCCACAGACACATGTAGCCACAGAGCACTTGAAAGGTATGTAGTCTGAATTGAGGTGTGCTCCAAGTGTAAAATACACACTCGGTTTTGAAGGTTTAACGTGAAAAAGGAATGTAAAATGTATTATTAATAATTTTATACCATTACATGCTGAAGTGATAATACTTCGGATATGCTGGGTTAAGTTAAATAACATAAAATTAAAATTAACCCTACCTGTTACTTTATGTCTTTTTTACAAGTAGCTAGAATACTAGGAAATTTAAAATTACATATGTGACTCACATTATGTTCCTATCAAGCTATGCTGCTACAGAGTTAAATGGATGATTCCTATTAACTTACAAATCTGAAAAACGGATGGCATGATAATATTTAACATCTGAAGAGTACCTTATGCTTTTTAATGTGTGTATTTATGTTTTAATTGGGTATGATTAATTATTGCAGGATAACTGGAATTTCTGTCATCCCACAGTCTTTGAAACTAAGATATTTGATTTAAATCCCAAATGTTACATTTATCCCAGCATTGCCTTTGATGCTGAAAGAAGTAAGAGCAAGCCAAGGAGACAAAAACTCTTGATTTAAATGACATTGTGCATTTTCAGGAGAAGAAAACAAAGTGGCTATTTTAAGTGCATGGTGATTCCCAACTTCCTGTCTTCTCAGGTACACAGACCATATGTGGTCCACTGGATATAAGAAATTCCTGGCCAAAGGAAAACTGAAGTGGACTATCCCATCTTATTACTAGATCACGTGGGAAGTTGACTCTTAGGCAAAGGGGAGTGACTTCCATACTGCAAGTCAGCTTGTGAAGCTGATGGGAAGCTTTTATAAAGGTAGCAGTGAACCCAGAATGAAAACTGGTTAAAGAACAGAAGCAATAAATGAGGTTGAACTTAGGAGATGAGTGAATGGGTTTGACACAGTAAGTCAATGAGATAGAAAAAAAAAAAAAAAACAACACCACAATATGCTATTGCACATAGGACCATGAGGCTCAACCAGACAAAAGAATGCTAACTGGTCAGACAGACATCTTTGCCTTTCAAGTTAGGTAAGGGTCCCCTTTCCAACCTACCCAAGGACCCGGGCCGGGCCGGGGAGGGGGGGGGAGGGGGGGCCGCGGTGGAGGAGGGAGGCTGAAAGGGGGTAGGGGGGAGGAGGGAGGCTGAAAAGTGTTCACTGCTTCCCTCTGCTGGTTAAACTAGACTGTTTTGTTATAAAGAACTGTTGAACTCCAGAAGACCTGTAAAATTCAGTTAGTATCTTAAAGATATTAAGATATCTTTATCTTATATATATTATCAGAAACAGGCTGAGCATGGTTTTTTTTGTGCTGCACTGATGGACATGCAATGTTATTAGATGTCTGTAATGAGATAATATGTGCAAATAATAATCTTACTGTTTATTGAGTACCTACTACGTATGTACCAGGCATTTTATATATAGCTCTGATTTACAGATCTTATTTTCCAAAGCAAGTTTTATTGCCCCAATTTGCAGGTGAGGAGGATAGAGATCAGAGAAGTTAAGTAACTTGCCAAATGTCACACAATGAACAAGAGTCGCTATCTGGACCTAAATCCACGTCTTTTCTAACATCGACACCCATGCTGTTGCATGACATCGCACTAAGGAACTACCTAACAATGCCTGACATCTAGTAAGTATTCAATAAATGTTAGTTCCCTTCCCTTATCATGGCATTCTGACATCATTTTCCAACCTCCTGCTGAGTTTGCATTAGACGATGCAATAGCTATTAGAAACATTTCATTAATGGTGACACCCACATAAAAGTCTGCCATGTATAAAAACATAAATAAAAACCCCTACTGCCCTTTCAGCCATGCTGGAAGCAAAGGTACAAGTCCGGAGGAGTCTGATGTCAACGCCAGGGAAAGTCCTCTACTGGCAAGTATGTGACACTGGGAAGACATCTGCCAACATACATTCCCAGCGCCTGAGGCCCATGTCTTGACATACTGAGCCAGTGACAGGAGGACACCAATGATGATGCAATGTCAGATAACCAATGGGAATGAGAGATGACTGGTAAACCAAGTAAGAAGGCACTGGCAGAGGCAGCAAAGAGGCGTGGTGCTTGCGACAAGGCTGTAGCTTGAAAAGAAAAGAGGCCGTACCTTCACAGCCACGTTCTATCTGTCCACTCCGATGGAGGGCATCGTTGATGAGGTCTGGCAGACGCCCATTCAAATCCACCGAGGCCAGACATCCCTGAAAGCCATCCCGGGAAGCCACCAATTTTGGAAGGTTGCTATACATGCCTTGGGCCAGACCCGCCATGTAGAGGTCACCTGCAAAAGAAAGTAAGTAGCAAGAGCAAATGAGTAAAGGGTTAGAAACCATGTCAACTAAAGCTAATGCACCTTAGACTAGTATACTTCTTGGATAACGATAATAAAGCTGGGAGGGGGAACCAGCATAAACAACTAATTACCAGAGTTTCTACATTGTAGATTGACAGAGGAAACTAACATTGCTTATGTCATTCATTTTCTGCATGCCATCTCACAAATTTTAATCACTATATGCAGTCTATGAGGTAGGTATTGTTCCCATTTTATGATGAAGTAAAGATTAACAATATTTTCAACAAAACCACCACTTACTCACTGCTTTTTATGTGCTTGTTACCAATAATATGCTTGGGATTTTATAGACATTATCCCATCAAAAATCGTAACAGCCCATAAAGGTAGTAACAATTATTATCCTCATTTTGCAAAAAAAAAAAAAAAGTATACAGAAGCTGAACAAGGCTAAGAGATTTCATCAAAGTCACCCAGGCAGTAAGCGATTCAGCTGAGATTCCAAAACATATATATATATATATATATCTCCTTTCCTCTATATTATGAGCCCCCACATTTTGACATTTATCACCTCACACTCAGCCCCCACATACCTCAGGTTTACAGAGAAAACGAACCATCCCTGGAAGAGTGGTTTAAGTAAAAATTGCATTTGGATATAATTGAATGTTGTTAAAATAGGATATGCATTATGTATCGAAAACACATAGCATTCCTAACTTGCAGTATACTTCTGCAAACAGCCTTTCTATTGTAAAAAATGTTCTAAAAAGGAAATCCTTCTTTACAGGTTTACCTTTCAAATCCAGATTTTTGGCACCATTGATAACCTGAGTGACCACTTTAGTGTCCACTTTCAAACTGTGGGTGTTACTGTTGTCTCGGGTGATGACGACGTTGTGCCACTGGTTGTCATTCAGGGGGCGGTCACTGTTGCCCTTGATCACATTGGGACCATTCCCGAGGTCAAACACATAGTGTATGTACCTGTGAGAAACAATAACCCCCCAGTGAGTTGAGACTCCCTAAAGTGGATTAATGGCAACCTATATACATAACTGACACTAACGGCTTCACATCCCCCATGTTACCCTGGCATTATGCAGGAATAATTAAAGCTTGATTTAGGATTGTAAAAATAATCCTCGCCTATCCTATCAGACCTTAATTCCATACTTACGTAATTCACTTCTCTAACACTATCTAAAAATCCAGAGTCACAAAGTAGTGTAGACAGTACATTCCAAAACACTAAGGGGTGGCATTTAAATTCAGTGGATCATGGATCTATTATCTGGTTCTGTTCTAGTTTTTGTTTTTATTTTAACTATTTTCCAACACACGGTAGTAAAATATCTTGCAGAAAGAACAGCTTTTTTTTTATTTTTTCAACGTTTATTTATTTTTTGGGACAGAGAGAGACAGAGCATGAACGGGGGAGGGGCAGAAAGAGAGGGAGACACAGAATCGGAAACAGGCTCCAGGCTCCGAGCCATCAGCCCAGAGCCCGACACGGGGCTCGAACTCACGGACCGCGAGATCGTGACCTGGCTGAAGTCGGACGCTTAACCGACTGCGCCACCCAGGCGCCCCGAAAGAACAGCTTTTAAAACGTTGCATAAATGAGCTAATGGTAATGCTGAAAATATCTATATTTCATTTCTTCCTATAGACTTGGTAGCTGCAGATAGCACTGACCCAGAGACAGATGCAATGCACCCTATATATCCTTCTTTTGCAAAAATAAGCTTCTCTCTTATAGGTTTAAAGGACTACATTTTACAGTAAAAAAAAAAAAAAAAAAAAATTCTGAGAATATTGAGTTAGTGGAATATATTTAAATAAACTAATGAATTTCTCTTCCTTCCAGCCCTAACCATTACATAGGTATTTTTAATCAATGAGGATGAGAGCATGTACTGGGAATAGAGAGTAGGGAACAGAATGGGTACTTTTTTTCATATCCATATTTCATGCAGGGCTTGAGCTGAGATACCTGGTATAAACTATGTGAAGTCTTCTACTCACCCCTTGACTAGCTCAACTGCAATGAAGTCATTGCCATCACCACTGTTGAAGAGGATGAAGCCATCAGCTGAGGTGGTCTTGAACTGGAAGAAGAGGTGCATGGAGGTGTATGCCTGGAGGGTGGCCAGGCTCAGGTAGCTGCTCTTGGTCTTGAAGGTGACAGGGTCAGCAATGATGTTCCTCAGTCCAAAACGTGCCTTCAGCTCACAGTAATCAATGTCACCATTTTTGCACAAGTCAATGTAGAGCAGGCCATTGAACATGAGGCTCTGCAAGTGCCCAATGAAACTGGAGGGGACAACGGAGATGTAGCGTTTCTCAGTCATGATTCCAGTTTCGATATTGTGGAATTCCAAGCGGGTATGGTCCCCCACCATTGTACCTATGAACATCACAAAGGAGATACCAACAAGTCACCATGTTTTGTCACGGCATCCTTACTGTATCTTTTAGGTGTCCATGCAAAATATTCACTTCCAGAAAACAAAATACTCAATGTAGTATGGAGCCAATGTTCAGTCAGGAGGCTGACTCTTGACCCAGTCTGAGCTATATGCCCTGAATACCATGCTCTCATGCCGCAGCTCAGAATATTCCATCACATAACAGAAAATACGCAATTGTGGATAATTCCACTGAAAGGGTAAAACCATCCATCTCCATTCAAAAAAAAACAATTGGGTATGAAGCATACTATAAGCAGAAAAGTCTCTTGCCCTAAACCTTTTAAAGATACAACAAAAAAAGCATTAGGCATTCAGTACCAAATATTTATTGATGTAATAATTTACCACCTAGTACTTGTAGAAAGATTCTATTGTAGAACATTATTTTTTTTTCTGACCAGCAACTGTTGCTATTTCTAATAAAACAGCTTCCATCTTTATTTTACCTTAAAACCATCTGGACTGGATAAAGCTGGCCCTCACCCAGCTCTTGAAATAATCAGGCTACCCAGACTGGACGACTCCATATATTTTATGCCCCTAACCAAAGAGCATTGTCTATATGGACTAACAAGGTGGTCTTTAAACTTCAGCATACCTCTGGCTCACATTAAGGGCTTCTTAACTCACAGTTCCCTAGGCCCTGCCCTCAGAGTTTATCATTCAAAAGTCTGGGGTGTAGCCTGAGAATATGCATTTCTAACAAGTTCCAAGGTGATGCTTATATAGCTGGTCTAGGAACCATCCTTAGAACCAAGGGATTAGCAGCAACATAAACTGGAGTATTCAGTAATTATTCAGTAATTAACTCGAGTAATATTCACCTCCAGAACTTTTGCTGGAACACCTTTGAGAGAGTCATTCTTGGTAAATAAGGTTTGTTGAAGGAATAAGAAGAAAACCCAGAGCTGCCAGAGGCCTCGTGATAAGGAGAGAGATTGGGCCTGCCTGAGTAGACAGCCAACCCGGAAGATAACCACAACACGGACAGAAAGTTTCTCTAGGGTGATGCCATGTGAAGGTCTGGATTCAGTAGTCACAGCCAGACTTTTAACTATATGGCAATAGATTCCCTTTTGTGCTTCAAGCATTTGAGTTGGGTGTCTGACACTTACAATTAAAAGATCTCCAGCTGATACAAATAAACTTGTAGACCTTTCATTACATGGCTTATCTAGAAGTAGTAAGTGAATAGGGCAGGAGTAATGAAAGGGGTTTGAAATAAATACAAAAGAGAATGGAAATCTTAATAACAAAGTTAAGAAAAACAGCATTAGTATGGCTAGAGTAGATGGTGGCTCCCTCAACATTTATATAGACAAATCATTAAAATTTAACAAACCAGGCCCTAATGCCCCAGTGGTGAAGGAAGGGCAGGGAAAATCCCTCCTCCTGCCCTATCTTGTTACCTCCCACACTGAAGAAACTTCTCTACAAAGACACTCCTAGCATCTCTTTACTAACTCTGTTACAGCTTTCCAGAGGAAAAGGAGTGACATAATCAGGAAGATTAAAGAAAATCTACCAAGAAACTGTATTTCCATAGTTCACCCCCTGGCACTTCCTGTTTCTCCCTAGGGGAACAAGCTGACTTCGAGAAATACCCAGTGTAGGGGCGCTTGGGTGGCTCAGTCGGTTGAGCTTGAGCGTCTGACTTCAGCTCAGGTCATGATCTCGCAGCTTGTGAGTTCAAGCCCCACATTAGGCTCTGTGCTGATGGCTCAGAGCCTGGAGCCTCTTCATATTCTGTGTCTTTCTCTCTCTCTCTGCCCCTCTCCCGCTCACACTCTGTCTCTGTCTCTCAAAAATAAACAAAAAAAAAAAGAAATAAAGAAAAAGAAATACCCAGTTTACCCCATTTACCCACCACACCATGGACTTTAGGGAAGCAAGCCTTGCTTCCGTGGAGATGCCTACCCAAGCCCTGAATTAGTTAGCATTCAAGTGGGCAATTCTAATTCTGAAATTCAGGGGAGCCTGTGTGGCTCAGTCGGTTAAGCATCTGACTTCAACTCGGGTCATGATCTCATAGTTCAGAAACCCAATACCTGCATCTGGCTCTGTGCTGACAGCTCAGAGCCTGGAGCCTGATTCTGATTCTGTGTCTCCCTCAATCTCTGCCCCTCCCCCACTCACGCTCTGTCTCTCTCTGTCCTCTCTCTCTCTGTCTCTCTCAAAAATAAACATTAAAAACAAGTTATCAAAAAAATAATTCTGAAATTCAGTAGAGGTTAACCACATTCTTCAGTACTAGTGTTATCACTGATAAAAATGATATTTGGCTTTAACCAGCCTTGCATTTGTTTTTTTCATTGTT